TGGTTTCATCAGACCAGAGAATCTTGTTTCTCATGGTCTGAGAGTCCTTTAGGTGCCTTTTGGCAAACTCCAAGCGGGCTGTCATGTGCCTTTTACTGAGGAGTGGCTTCCGTCTGGCCAATCTACCATAAAGGCCTGATTGGTGGAGTGCTGCAGAGAGGATTGTCCTTCTGGAAGGTTCTCCCTATCTCCACAGAAGAACTCTGGAGCTCTGTCATTGTGACCATCGGGTTCTTGGTCACCTCCCTGATCAAGGCCCTTCTCCCCCGATTGCTCAGTTTAGCCGGGCGGCCAACTCTAGGAAGAGTCTTGGTGGTTTCAAACTTCTTCCATTTAAGAATGATGGAGGCCACTGTGTTGTTGGGGACCTCGAATGCTGCAGAAATGTTTTGGTACCCTTCCCCAGATCTGTGCCTCGACACAATTGTGTCTCGGAGCTCTACGGACAATTACTTCGACCTCATGGATTGGTTTTTGCTGTGACATGCACTGTCAACTGTGGGACCCTATATAGACAGGTGTGTGCCTTTTCAAATCATGTCCAATCAATTGAATTTACCACAGGTGGACTCCAATCAAGTTGTAGAAACATCTCAAGGATGATCAATGGAAACAGGATGCACCTGAGCTCAATTTCGAGGCTCATAGCAAAGGGTCTGAATACTTATGTAAATAAGGTATTTCTGTTTTTTATTTTTAATAAATTTGCAAAAATGTCTAAAAACCTGTTTTAGCTTTGTCATTATGGGGTATTATGTGTAGATTGATGAGGATTTATTTCTCCATTTAATCAATTTTAGAATAAGGTTATGACATAACAAAATGTGGAAAAAGTCAAGGGGTCTGAATACTTTCCGAATGCACTGTATATTTTTTTAACTCCAGGGATGTTGTCTTGATAAGTGCGTGAATTGGACCATTTTCCTGTCCTGCTAAGCATTCAAAATGTAACAAGTACTATTGGGTGTCAGGGAAAATGTATGGAGTTAAAAGTAGATAATTTTCTTTAGGAATGTAGTGAAGTAAATGTAAAAGTTGTCAAAAATAAAAATTAAAGTACAGATACCCCAAAAAACTACTTAAGTAGTACTTTAAAGTATTTTTACTGAAGTACTTTACACCACTGGTCACATGCGCCGAATACAACACTTTAACGTGAAAAGCTTACTTACGAGGCTTTTCGCAACAACGCAGAGTTAAAAAGTATGACATTTTTGCTAAATAAAAAAAGGAAATAGGAACACAATAAAATAACAATAACAAAGAGATATATTGTAACACGTCGTTTTTGTACCTTGCATAGAACAGCTTCGATAAAGCATTACTTTTCTTTTTACTTGCGTAGATGCTGAGATACATTTTATTTTTCAGCCTCCGAAAATTTAATTCTGCTGTAATTTTGACAAAAGGTCAAGAACACACTGACATATTTCCATGTTACAGCGCTTGTTTATGGAAGACAGACAAAACACAGTCGACTATCTGCGCTAATTAGCTATCTGCGTCTCCGAACACCTATGTGTAAACGGACTACGGACTCCACAAACGTGTTGTCACTGAAAACAACTGTTGCTGCAGTTAAACAGTGTATATCTTTTGCATTTTTCCGAAATTATTTTGCTGTGATATGAAAGTAGAGAGCTTTATGTTTCTAGAACCATACCACAATTGAGAATGTATTCACATTTAGATGGAGTATTTGGCTTTTTTGGCTGCAAGAGCCAATTTGCCTCTGAACATAACATGTAAGGTCCTTGGACTTTAAGGAGTAATGGGCTAGGCACAAAGTAGCTTCTTCCTGTAACTAGCCATTTAAACTAACCTTTATATTAAGAATTTTGACTTTGACATTTAATGTTCTGTATGGCCATCTGTAACATTAATAGTGAAAGTAAAAATTCTTAATATAAATGTTAATTTAAATGGCTAACGTTGCGGGGTGAAGCTAGGCACAAAGTAACTCACAAACAGCTTTTTATCTGACCAGAGCTAGAGAAGCTAGCTATACATTTCAGTGTTTTTCATGTCAATGATTAAGATGACATGTATAACTTTTAGTCACTGGGAGTTAGCGGCAGTATCCTCGGCACTGCTAGCTGTACTGTACACTAGTGATTGGTTGTTCGCGAACAAACAGCTCTTTTTGAACAGATATTTTTGGTGAACGTAGGGAGCTGAATCGCATCGGTGAAAGAGTCGTTAATTTGGCTCCCTGATACTGCTACTACTGCTTTTTGACCTCAAAACAACAGATTTTCTGCAGATAAGTTTGAAAATAATTATTTAAAGAGGGTGACTTATTTCAGGCCATCTAATAATTTGGCCAGGTAAAAATGTATTTGACTGCACATTTCACGATCTGACATAATGGTAGCCTACCCTTTGGGCTTTATACAGGATATGTACTTTTTTATCATGGTTCTTTGTCGATTTTTAAGCATTTTGAACGAAGAGCCGTTTGTGAGCCAAATGAGCCATCTCTTTAACGTAAACGGAGCCAAATGAGCCGGATCACCAAAAAAACTTCGAATGCCCATCACTACTGTACACATGGGTGCGCGCCGCGAATCCTAAACAGGTGCTGTGTTGTCCCATTCTGCGTTCCGTTCCGTAGCTTCAAATCAGGCGCCAACCTGCTATTTGTCCATTTCCAGGGAGGCTGGCGTTGCGAATGCGTACTAGACAAAACGCCTACTCAACGCCATTGTTGTGGTCTTAGCTTAGCAGCGGTTTTCTAACATTTTGGCTACAGTTTCATGATTCAATATTTATTTCAAAGGATGGTATGATGCTTTTAAAACGTTGTTTGGCAAATTGATAGATGTCTCCATAGATCATTTAAGATTGTGAGGGCGAGGAAGGTTGCTAATGTAGTAAAGGAGGAGGTGAGCACCGGGGGAAAGGAAATGTACGAAATTCTGACAAGATCCGACGAGGATGAGTGCACGGCGATGTACGGGGAATCCGACGAATACCTGTACGTTTTCTGCTGTTGGTGATTGATAGTAACACTGGGTGTGCAGGAGGTCAGGCCTAGGCATTGTGTGTGTAGTAAGGATTTTACATGTGGAACAGGCCACTCCATTTCAATGCACACAAACAAATGTAGAACTAAGTAAAAATACTTTAAAGTACTACTTAAGTAGTTTCTTTGGGTATCTGTACTATTTATGTTTGTGTACTTTTTACTCCATACATGATGATGTGCAAATAGAGATACTGGGGTGCAAATGAGCAAAATAAATAACAATATGGGGATGAGGTAGTTGGGTGGGCTAATTACAGATGGGCTGTGTACAGGTGCAGTGATCGGTAAGCTGCTCTGACAACTGATGCTTAAAGTTAGTGAGGGAGATAAGAGTCTCCAGCATCAGAGATGTTTGCAGTTCGTTCCAGTCATTAGCAGCAGAGAACTGGAAGGAGTGGCGGCCAAAGGATTTGGGCATTACCAGTGAGATATACCTGCTGGAGCGCATACTATGGGTGGGTGTTGCTATGGTGACCAATGAGCTAAGATAAGGCAGGGATTTGCCTAGCAGTGATTTATAGATGACCTGGAGCCAGTGGGTTTGGCGACGAATATGTAGTGAGGGCCAGCCAACGGGAGCGTAAAGGTCACAATGGTGGGTAGTATATGGGGCTTTGGAGACAAAACGGATGGCACTGTGATAGACTACATCCAATTTGCTGAGTAGAGTGTTGGAGGCTATTTTGTAAATGACATCGCCGAAGTCAAGGATCGGTAGGATAGTCAGTCTTACGAGGGCATGTTTGGCAGCATGAGTGAAGGAGGCTTTGTTGCGAAATAGGAAGCCGATTCTAGATTTATCTTTGGATTGGAGATGCTTAATGTGAGTCTGGAAGGAGAGTTTACGGTCTAACCAGACACCTAGGTATTTGTAGTTGTCCACAAATTCTAAGTCAGACCCGCCGAGAGTAGTGATTCTAGTCGGGCGGGCGGGTGCAAGCAGCGTTCGACTGAAGAGCATGCATTTAGTTTTATTAGCGTTTAAGAGCAGTTGGAGGCTACGGAAGGAGTGTTGTATGGCATTGAAGCTCGTTTGGAGGTTTGTTAACACAGTGACCAATGACTGGCCAGATGTATACAAAATGGTGTCGTCTGCGTAGAGGTGGATCTGAGAGTCACCAGCAGCAAGAGCGACATCATTGATATACACAGAGACTAGAGTCGGCCCGAGAATTGAACCCTGTGGCACCCCCATAGAGACTGCCATAGGTCCAGACAACAGGCCCTCCAATTTGACACATTGAACTCTATCTGAGAAGTAGTTGGTGAACCAGGCGATGCAGTCATTTGAGAAACTAAGGCTAATTAGTCTGCCAATAAGAATGCGGTTATTGACAGAGTCGAAAGCCTTGGCCAGGTCGATGAAGTCGGCTGCACAGTACTGTCTTTTATTGATCGCAGTTATAATATCGTTTAGGACCTTGAGCGTGGCTGAGGTGCACCCATGACCAGCTCGGAAACCAGATTGCATAGCGGAGAAGGTATGGTGGGATGGGCAAGTTGCAGCGTAGGGTGCATAGTTGGTGGCCGTGGTAGTACAGGCTTAGCCTTTGCTTTCCTAACTGATTGTGTATATTGGTTCCTGACTTCCCTGAAAAGTTGCATATCGCGGGGGCTGTTCGATGCTAATGCAGTACACCACAATATGTTTTTGTGCTGGTCAAGGGCAGTCAAGTCTGGGGTGAACCAGGGGCTATATCTGTTCTTAGTTCTGAACTTATTCAAGCTGTTCTTCAGTGAACAGACCATAAGAGTCCTGTGTGACAACACTAACAAACAAGTAGCCATAAACATAGCGAGAGGGAGAAAATATGCCTGGACGAACATCACTGTTCCAGAGATGTATAAACTCATAGGGCTTCTGTTCTACATGTCTGTGGTCAAGTTGAAACGGATGAGAGACTACTGGAAAGTGGACAGAATTTTCTCCCTGTCCTTTCCAGGGACAGTCATGTCCAGGAATAGATTCCAAATGTTCCTAGTGAACATTCACATGAGTGACCCTAAGAAAGACTGCGTCAACGATGCAAAAAGGAGAACGCTTGAGTACGACAGCCTTTGCCGTATTAAGCCATTGATGGGTGCCATGTGGATTGCAAGTCGAGCGTACTACCATCCTTACAGAACTCTGTCTATCGATGAGCGAATGATGGCATCTAAGGCTATATCTCAAAAGCCTCAATACATAAAGGCTAAGCCGGTCAAGTGGGGCTTCAAACTCGTTGTTTTGGCTGACTCCAGCGATGGCTACACCATTGACATCAGTGTGTACACTGGAAAGTCAAACTTCTCCTCTGGCAACAGACATGCCTACGACGCTGTCATGCGTCTCATTCAGCCATCCTACTTGGGCACTGGTTACCATCTCTAATGTGACAATTTCTTCACAAGTCCAAAACTGTTCCGGGATTTATTGTTCCGGAAAATTGGTGCTTGTGGAACCCTGCATGAGGATAGAGAAGACCCTGCTGGCGTCGAGACAAATGCCCTGACAATGAAATCCCAGAGTGGATCCATAAGGTGGAGGAGGGAGGGCAACCTGCTGTATGTGAAGTGGAATGAAGCAAGCATGGTGTCAATTGATTCCACCATACACAAAGCATACGAGAAGGACACAACAGTGAAGAGGAAGAAGAGGTTGAAGGACGGGAGCTGGACCACTGTGCTCGTGCCTATCCCAGAGCCCTTTGTGGACTACACCAGCCACCCTAGTCATAGACTGTTCTCTCTAGGTAACAACACATCTGCCACGCTGATCCTCAACACGGGGGCCCCTCAGGGGTGCGTGCTCAGTCCCCTCCTGTGCTCCCTGTTCACAGCGTAAAAGAGGGGGTGGGGGACACAATGCAAATAGTCCAGGTAGCCATGATTAGCTGTTCAGGAGTCTTATGGCTTGGGGGTAGAAGCTGTTGAGAAGCCTTTTGGACCTAGACTTGGCGCTCCGGTACCGCTTGCCATGCAGTAGCAGAGAGAACAGTCCATGACTAGGGTGGCTGGAGTCTTTGACAATTTTGAGGGCCTTTTTCTGACACCGCCTGGTATAGAGGTCCTGGATGGCAGGAAGGTTGGCCCCAGTAATGTACTGGGCCGTACGCACTACCCTCTGTAGTGCCTTGCGATCGGAGGCCGAGCAGTTGCCATACCAGGCGGTGATGCAACCAGTCAGGATGCTCTCGATGGTGCAGCTGTAGAACTTTTTGAGGATCTGAGGACCCATGCCAAATCTTTTCAGTCTCCTGAGGGGGAATAGGCTTTGTGGTGCCCTCTTCACGACTGTCTTGGTGTGTTTGGACCATGATAGTTCGTTGGTGATGTGGACACCAAGGAACTTGAAGCTCTCAACCTGTTCCACTACAGCCCTGTCGATGAGAATGGGGGCGTGCTCAGTCCTCTTTTTTTTCCTGTAGTCCACAATCATCTCCTTTGTCTTGGTCACGTTGAGGGAGAGGTTGTTATCCTGGCACAACACGGCCAGGTCTCTGACCTCCTCCCTATAGGCTGTCTCATCGTTGTCGGTGATCAGGCCTACCACTGTTGTGTCGTCGGCAAACTTAATGATGGTGTTGGAGTTGTGCCTGGCCATGCAGTCATGGGTGAACAGGGAGTACAGGAGGGGACTGAGCACGCACCCCTGAGGGGCCCCCGTGTTGAGGATCAGCGTGGCAGATGTGTTGTTACCTACCCTTGCCACCTGTGGGCGGCCCGTCAGGAAGTCCAGGATCCAGTTGCAGAGGGAGGTGTTTAGTCCCAGGATCCTTAGCTTAGTGATGAGCTTTGAGGGCACTATGGTGTTGAACGCTGAGCTGTAGTCAATGAATAGCATTCTCACGTAGGTGTTCCTCTTGTCCAGTTGGGAAAGGGCAGTGTGGAGTGCAATAGAGATTGCATCATCTGTGGATCTGTTGGGGCGGTACGCAAATTGGAGTGGGTCTAGGGTTTCTGGGATAATGGTGTTGATGTGAGCCATGACCAGCCTTTCAAAGCACTTCATGGCTACAGACGTCAGTGCTACGGGTCGGTAGACATTTAGGCAGGTTACCTTAGTGTCCTTGAGCACGGGGACTATGGTGGTCTGCTTGAAACATGTTGGTATTACAGACTCAGTCAGGGACATGTTGAAAATGTCAGTGAAGACACTTGCCAGTTGGTCAGCACATGCTCGGAGTACACGTCCTGGTAATCCGTCTGGCCCTGTGGCCTTGTGAATGTTGAACTGCTTAAAAGTCTTACTCACATCGGCTATGGAGAGCATGATCACATAGTCATCCGGAACAGCTGGTGCTCTCACAGATGCTTCAGTGATGCTTGCCTCGAAGCGAGCATAGAAGTGGTTTAGCTCGTCTGGTAGGCTTGTGTCACTGGGCAGCTCGCGGCTGTGCTTCCCTTTGTAGTCTGTAATAGTTTTCAACCCCTGCCACATCCGACGAGCGTCAGAGCCGGTGTAGTACGATTCAATCTTAGTCCTGTATTGACGCCTTGCCTGTTTGTTGGTTCGTCGGAGGGCATAGCGGGATTTCTTATAAGTGTCCGGGTTAGAGTCCCGCTCCTTGAAAGCGGCAGCTCTACCCTTTAGCTCAGTGCGGATGTTGCCTGTAATCCATGGCTTCTGGTTGGGGTATGTACGTATGGTCACTGTGGGGACGACGTCATCGATGCACTTATTGATGAAGCCAGTGACTGATGTGGTGTACTCCTCAATGCTATCTGAAGAATCCCGGAATATGTTCCAGTCTGTGCTAGCAAAACAGTCCTGTAGCTTAGCATCTGCGTTGTCTGACCACTTTTATATTATCGAGTCACTGGTGCTTACTGCTTTAGTTTTTGCTTATAATAAATAATATGCCATTTAGCAGACGCTTTTATCCAAAGCGACTTACAGTCATGCGTTCATAAATTTTTTTGTGTATGGGTGGTCCCGGGGATCGAACCCACTACCTTGGCGTTACAAGCGCCGTGCTCTACCAGCTGAGCTACAGAGGACCACAAGCAGGAATCTGGAGGATAGAGTTATGGTCAGATTTGCCAAATGGAGGGCGAGGGAGAGCTTTGTATGCATCTCTGTGTGAAGAGTAAAGGGGGTCTAGAGTTTTTTTCCTCTGGTTGCACATTTAACATGCTGGAAGAAATTAGGTAGAACGGATTTAAGTTTCCCTGCATTAAAGTCCCCGGCCACTAGGAGCGCTGCCTCTGGATGAGCGTTTTCCTGTTTACTTATGGCCTTATCAAGCTTATTGAGTGCAATCTTAATGCCAGCATTGGTTTGTGGTGGTAAATAGACAGCTATGAAATATATAGATGAAAACTCTCTTGGTAAATAGTGTGGTCTACAGCTTATCATAAGATACTCTACCTCAGGCGAGCAAAACCTCGAGACTTCCTTAGTATTTTATTTTGTGCACCAGCTGTTGTTTACAAATATACACAGACCGCCACCCCTTGTCTTACCGGAGTCAGCCGTTCTATTCCTGCCGATGTAGCGTATAGCCCGCTAGTTTTCCATGTCGTCGTTCAGCCACGACTCGGTGAAACATAAGATATTACAATTTTTTGTCCCGTTGGTAGGATATCTGTACTCTTAGGTCATCTATTTTATTTTCCAATGATTGAAGATTGGCTAATAGGATTGATGGAAGAGGCAGTTTACTCGCTCGCCGTCAGATCCTTACGAGGCACCCCGACCTACGTCCACAATATCTTTGTCTCTTTCTCCTGCGAATGACGGGGATTTGGGCCTTGTCGGGTGTCTGTAGGATATCCTTGGTGTCCGACTCGTTGAAGAAAAAATCTTTGTCCAATACGAGGTGAGTAATCGCTGTCCTGATATCCAGAAGCTCTTTTTGGTTATAAGAGACGATGGCAGAAACATTATGTACAGAATCAATTACAAATAACGTGAAAAAACACACATAATAGTACAATTGGTTAGAGGGCTGTAAAACGGCAGCCATCTTCTCCGGCGCCACTCTGTAGGAGCTGCAAAGCTCCACAGTGGAGATTGGAGTATCTGTCCATAGGACCACTTTAAGCCGTACACTCCACAGAGCTGGGCTTTACGGAAGAGTGGCCAGAAAAAAGCCATTGCTTAAAGAAAGAAATAAGCAAACACGTTTGGTGTTCACCAAAAGCCATGTGGGAGACTCCTCAAACATATGGAAAAAGGTACTCTGGTCAGATGAGACTAAAATTGAGCTTTTTGGCCATCAAGGAAAACGCTATGTCTGGCGCAAACCCAACACCTCTCATCACCCCAAGAACACCATCCCCACAGTGGTGGTGGCAGCATCATGCTGGGGGATGTTTTTCATCGGCAGGGACTGGGAAACTGGTCAGAATTGAAGGAATGATGGATGCTGCTAAATACAGGGAAGTTCTTGAGGGAAACCTTTCAGTCTTCCCGGAGATTTGAGACTGGGACGGAGGTTCACCTTCCAGCAGGACAATTTTACATTTACATCATTTACCAGACAATGACCCTAAGCATACTGCTAAAGCAACACTCGAGTGGTTTCAGGGGAAACATTTAAATGTCTTGGAATGGTCTTGTCAAAGCCCAGACCTCAATCCAATTAAGAATCTGTGGTATGACTTAAAGATTGCTGTACACCAGCGGAACCCATCCAACTTGAAGGAGCTGGAGCAGTTTTGCCTTGAAGAATGGGCAAAAATCCCAGTGGCTAGATGTGCCAAGCTTATAGAGACATACCCCAAGAGACTTGCAGCTGTAATTGCTGCAAAAGGTGGCTTTACAAAGTATTGACTTTGGGGGGGGTGAATAGTTCTGCACGCTCAAGTTTTCTGTTTTTTTTTCTTATTTCTTGTTTGTTTCACAAGAACAAATATTTGCATCGTCAAAGTGGTAGGCATGTTGTGTAAATGAAATGATACAAACCCCCAAAAAATCAATTTTAATTCCAGGTTGTAAGGCAACAAAATAGGAAAAATGCCAAGGGGGGTGAATACTTTCGCAAGCCTCGCTACTGTTATTTTTACTGTTATTTTTACTGTTATTTTACTGCTTTTATTTTTTTACTTATCTATTGTTTGAGAGGCAAACGGACCACGTTCCTGTGCCTTGCAAACCGCCGGTATGCAAAAGAAAGAGGGCTAGTCTAGAATGCAGAAGTTATAAATATTGCCTAGACGAATGGAACCACACCCACAAAACTCCATGGAAGTGCAAGGTGTGCGAGGTTGCGCAGTGTGTTATTCCTGACAGGAACTGTTTTGAGAAGTGGCACTCTAAACTTCCAGTAACTACCATCAAATATGAGATGCTGGAAGTCTTAACGATGCCCTAGTAACGTTGTAGTTGCTTACCTCAAATTTTGGGCAGATCGAATTGTATAGTTAAAATACGCATATGTATTATATACAGTGCCTTCAGAAAGTAGGCTATTCATAACCCTTGACTTATTCCACATTTTGTTGTTACAGCCTGAATTCCAAATTCATTAAATTGATTTAGATGGGTAAAAATAAAAAAGCAGATATTTAATATCCCTTTGAGCATGGTGAAGTTATTAATTACACTTTGGATGGTGCATCAATACACCCAGTCACTACAAAGATACAGGCGTTCTTCCAAACTCAGTTGCCGGAGAGGAAGGAAACCGCTCAGGGATTTCACTATGAGGCCTATGGTGACATTAAAACAGTTAGAGTTTAATGGCTGTGATAGGAGAACACTGAGGATGGATCAACAACATTGTAGTTACTCCACAATACTAACCTAAATGACAGAATGAAAAGAAGGAATCCTGTACAGAATAAAAAATATTCCAAAACATGCATCCTGTTTGCAATAAGGCACTAAAGTGAAACTGCAAAATATGTGGCAAAGAAATTAACTTTATGTCCTGAGTACAAAGCTTTATGTTTGGACTAAATCCAACACAACACATCACTGAGTACTACTCTTCATATTTTCAAGCATGGTGGTGGCTGCATCATGTTATTGGTGTTCTTGCCATCGGCAAGGACCAGGGAGTTTTTTATGATAATAAGAAACAGAATAGAGCTAAGCACAGGCAAAAATCCTAGAGGAAAACCGGGTTGTCTGCTTTCCAACAGACGCTGGGAGACAAATTCACCTTTCAGCAGGACAATAACCTAATACACATGGCCAGATATACCCTGGAGTTGCTTACCAAGATGACATTGAATGTTCCTGAGTGGCCTAGTTACAGTTTTGATTTAAAAGGGCTTGAAAATATGTGGCAAGACTTGAAAATGGCTGTTTAGCAATGATCAACAACCAACTTGAAAGAACTTGAATTTAATGTGCAAATATTTTACAATCCAGGTGTGCAAAGCTCTTAGACTTACCCAGAAAGACTCACAGCTGTAATCGCTGCCAAAGGTGATTCTGTATTGACTCAGGGGGTTGAATACTTATCTTATGAAGATATATTAGTGTTTAAATTATTATTATTTTTTACAAATGTTCATGTTCTTCCACTTTGACATTAAAGAGTATTTTGTTTAGATCATTGACAGAAAGCTTACAATTAAATATATTTTAATCCCACTTTGTAACAACAAAATGGGGAAAAAGTAAAGAGGTGTGAATACTTTCTCAAGGCACTGTAGGTGCCGTTTGCAAGGCATTGGAAAACCTATCTGGTCTCTGTGGTTGAATCTGTGTTTAAAATTCACTGCACGACTAAGGGACCTTACAGAATATTGTATGTGTGGGGTACAGAGATGAGGTAGTCATTCAAAAATCATGCAACTTATACTGAACAAAAATATAAATGCAACTTGCAGCAATTTCAAAGATTTTACAGAGTTACAGTTCATAGAAGGAAATCAGTCAATTGAAATAAATTCATTAGTCCCAAATTTATGGATTTCACATGACTGGGCAGGGACGCAGCCATGGGTGGGCCTGGGAGGGCATAGGCCTACCCACTTGGGAGCCAGACCCGTTGGACGTACTGCCAAATTCTCTAAGACGACGTTGGAGGCGGCTTATTGTAGGGAAATTAACATTCAATTCTCTGGCAACAGCTACTTTTTGACTCAGGACATTTCAGGTTTTCATTTTTTATTAATTTGTCCCCCCAAAGAAAATCAATTTTGACATTATGGGGTATTGTGTGTAGGCCAGTGACACAAAATCTAAATGTAATCCATTTTAAATTCAGGCTGTAACACAACAAAATGTGGACAACTCAAGGGGTGTGAATACTTTCTGAAGGCACTGTACATAGTGGTGTAAAGTACTTAAGTAAAAATACTTTAAAGTACTACTTAAGTCGTTTTGGGGGGTATCTGTGCTTAAGCTTACTATTTATATTTTTGACTACTTTCACTGCACTACATTCCTAAAGAAAATGATGTACTATAAACTCCCATACATTTTCCCTGACACCCTAAAGTACTCGTTGTATTTTGAATTCTTAGCAGGACAGGAAAATGGTCCAATTACATTTTACATTTACATTTTAGTCATTTAGCAGTCACTCTTTGACTTACAGTTAGTGAGTGCATACATTTTTCATTTTTTTTTCTTCATACAATTCACTCACTTATCAAGAGAACATCCCTGGTCATCCCTACTGCCTCTGATCTGGTGGACTCACTGAACACACAATGATGTCTGAGCATTGGAGTGTGCCCCTGGCTAACCATAATCTATATTTTTTAATGGTCTCGTCTGGTTTGCGAATTTCAAATAATTTATACTTTTACTTTTGATACTTAAGTGTATTTTAGCAAGTACATTTACTTTTGATACTTAAGTATATTTAAAGTCAAATATTTTTTTACTTTTACTCAAGTAGTATTTTACTGGGTGACTGTCACTTTTATTTGAGTCATTTTCTATTAAGGTATCTTTACTTTTACTGAAGTAAGACAATTGGGTACTTTTTCCACCACTGACTGTACATAATATGAATCAATGTCCTACCTCTGTAAACTACACATAGCCGCGGGAATTAAAATATCTGAATACATTTTTTTATATTAATTAAAGAAAAACAATCTCACAAAAATAGTGCATTGGGCCTTTACTAGTCCTGTATTAGCGGACCAATATAGCGATCTGTAGCGCGGGAAAAACATAAATAATCTGCGTGATGTTATTGATTCTGAGATGTAAGGCAACACTTTACAGATCTATAAGGACGAACGTTGAATTGGTGTAAAAAAAAAAATGTTTTCATTTGTTCGCCTCGAGGTTGGGTGCAATATATTGGGAAGTTGAAATCATTTGAACCTTGCACTACTTGGCTTGCTCCCAGAGCTCCTGTTCTGTTACACTTGAATGTGTTATTTGTATAAATAACACATGAAAGTGTAAGGTGTGTGCTCTAGCCTATAAAATCTACTTGTATTTTACCTGCATGCTATTTTTTTCTGTTTTGATTCATTAATCAATTTGCTGCTACTTCCATAACTGCATATCACCAGATTAATTAAATGAAAGATGTACAGCATTGATTGCTTGGCAGTTCCATCATATGGGTGTGTGAACTGCTGCTATTGTTAAACCAATATAAATGAATTGGAAATGGTGACTACTCATGGAAATACATTGATATTATTTCTAACTATTCCAAACTGAATATCCCTCATGCTTAGACTGCCACCTAGGGGCCATGGGATGCTCTGTAAATGATGGTCGATGAAAGCACAGAAGCCATAATGAGCTCAGGGGTGATTAGCTTTTGCCCTAGTCTTCGTAACTTTGAAACCTTTCTCTGACAATGCAATGTATGAAAAATGACAAAAACTAACTTGTTCCTCCTTCCCAGCATTCTCCATTAGTCATTAAACGTCAAATTTACCATAATGAAAACAATTAAACGTATTTAATGTCGTTGCTTGCCAATTGCTAAGATATTAATCAAATTCTCTACTCATTCAAATCAATGTATATTTTTGGACCAATGTCTGACATGCTGAAACGCAACGCCCAGAGAGTTCATTGTCTAGAGAGGGCTGCTGTCACGGTGGGCCAATCCCCTCATTCTTGGACCATCGTCAACATGGCAGACGTGGATATCATCGTGAACAAGTTTTTGACACTTTGGAGGATACCGTTTGTCCGTCTTAAATTGCCGTGGATTTTCTTGGGTATTTCAATAGTGGGATCCTTTGTCAAGACGACACAGCTCGTTCCGGAGACATATTTTAGCAACAGCAGAAATGTTCTCAATATGTAAGTAGAATGACCTACCGGTTAGCAAACTATCCACAATGACAACTTGATTTAGCTAGTAGAAAGCTCGCTAGCTAGCTAGGTAACGTTAGCTTGCGAAGTGGCAAACCCTTGCGAGCACAGCCACGACTAGTAGGGCCAAACGTCAGTGTTATTCAGTTAACCAGGCAAGTAAGCTAGCTAACAAATCCCCAGTTCTTCTTTCGTATTTATTTACAATACAAGGAGAAGCAACATAGGGATTAACTAGCTAGCTACAACCACTTACCAAATTCCTCTTAGGCTAGACATTTGTTACCAGTGGCGATTTTACCATGTCAGTCTTGGTGGGAAAAACAAAAGTGGGATGCATGCCAACAAAGCCACTAAACAATACATTAATTGCACTATAAAGGTGACAAACTGTGCCCACAAACTGTTAGGGCCTACATAAAGCTGTCCCAACAGTTTACCACTGCTACACCTGGCTATCAGCAGAGCCTTGTCTGGCAGCGAAACAGTTAATTCAGCCTCATTTACTGCCTTTTAAAAAAACATCGCTGATATGGCTGACTTGTTTCAACAAATGTGGTTTCTACTGACAATTGAGATGTACAAAATATGGCATAAGGAGACGACAAGCAGATAAGAGGCAATCTGTAATTTCGATTAATACATTGAGTGAGCTAGGACGGATGTAGTCAACAACTATTTTTTCAGCACTTTTGAAATGTACAGCGACAGAATTCAGAACATGGGCCGTTCCTACAGTGTTCTCCCTGTACACCAAGTCAGAACCGTAGGATAAATAAAGGGGGCATATAAGCAGACAATGAAAGCTCTTACAATATTCAATGTTTACATTTCTCTAAAACAGGTTATCGGCTACATATGCACCACCAAGTCAGAACAGTAGGCAAAATTAAGAGGGGAAAATAGACCAAATTATTAGGGTGAAGCACATGGGCTCCTAACAGCTTACTACACAACATACACTTAGCATTACTTTCTTAGCTACAGTCTACATATCTCCCTGGCATATTACATAATTTATGCAGCAGCATACAATACATTTTTGGACACACCTTGTTGTGCTTCGTGGGCAAATGTTGTCATCAAAGTCTGGCATTCTCTGGATTTATGGTGCTTTCAAGACAACTGGGAACTCTGGAAAAAAAACAAGGTCGAATCATGATGACGTCAGTGATCTTCAGGTTGTAGTTCTAGAAAGAGGTCAGAGTTCCCGATTTACAATTCCGAGTTGGATGACCGTTCAAAACTTATTTTCCCAGTCAGAGCTAGTTTTTCCCTAGTTGTCTTAAACTCACTGAAGTCAGATTTCGCAGTTCCGAGTTAACAGTTGTTTTGAGCGCGGCACAAATCATGCTTCATTGACAGCATGGCCAATGTTGAATGTTTATCATTTTAAGTTTGGAAAAGAGACCGTTAATCCCATACTTTGGACCACACAGCGACTTCACTGAAAAGAAGGCTAGTGATTGCTTTGCAATGCTTGCAGTTAGCCACTGATTCCTTCCAAACCACTCATTGTTGAATTTGCGATTTCCAACTTGTTGTGTAATGTTTATGTCCAATGGCCGATGAGCACCGATACGTTTTATCCATAATTTCTCTTCATTATTTATCTTCATTGCCAGTAGATTGTCGACTTGATTCATGATGACTGCTAGCTAAGATTTTGAAAGTATGATGTTGACATGATCAGTCCAATCAAAGCTACTGTAGATATAATGTGATTTGACGTCATTTTATCTGTGGCCAATGACCTTGAGCCGCCTTGGATGGGCACTTCTAATGTAACTCTATGGCAGCACCCAAGGGGCTTGAATTTTCAAGCTCTACCCTTAGACTTGGCGGTGAAGTAGTGTCCCCATGAGTGACAGAACACTGAGCCAATCATGGCGCAACTAGAGAACATTACCAACACCTACGCTCCGTATTTTCCGCTGGCTGCCCCACCACCACAGAAAGCACTGAGCTAGGCTAAAACACCTGCATTTTGGAGCTGCCTTATTCAATAAAGCAAAAAAAGAGACCATGTTTGTATGCGGCTTTATTAACTCAATGATATGTTTTTTTTTTACATTGTTTGCTAACTGATATGTGACACGTATTAATGCCAAAATAACATGCAAAACAGGCAAGACAAAAAAGAAAGATTTTTATTTTATTGTTTATTTTTGCTAAAAATGTATGGTTTGCTCTGCCCCACCTGCCCTGAATGAAGGGTCGCCACTGTTTGTTACCCCATTCATAGACACTATCTACTTTAGCGCCTATTGACGATAGTATCTATTGACATAGGGAATTTTGTTAAGAGCCCCGATGCCTGCGCTGAACGTTAACACGCATCGCTTGCGGTACTGTTTTGGAAACATATATAAGGAACGTATCTTTCATATCAGCGAGAATTTTATTTAAAAAAACAAAAGGTTAATTACTGCACACCTTTTATAGGGTTAGTGTTCCCACACGGCCATAGCTATATCTGTTACAGCGCTTGTTTACGGAAGACATAGGCCGCCACCTGTGCTAATTAGCTATCTAGCGTTCTGCGAACACCTGTGTGTAAGCTAACTGGGGAGGAAGTGTAGTTTGTCAACTAGAGGCCACAGTGTATGGATCTGTGCAAAACTGCTACAGTAAGTGGCTTTTTTATAAGAACGATTCTTTCTGGGTTACATTAAAGATAAGGGGCATATCAGTACAGGTTTAGAAAGCAATTATTATTGACGTTTCTGAACATTACAACACCACGTCGTAATTAGGTTTACACGGAGCCAAATGTGGGCGACTATAATGGCTGAAAACCCTACATACGGAGAAGGGTTTTCGAGAGCTAGACACTTGCCAGTTTGCCTGTGTAGTCTGATTATCAACTGTCTGTGCTACATCTTGCATGACCACTATTTCTTACATGACCACTTCCTATATCTATTTCAGGTATTTTGTCAAAGTGTCCTGGGGCTGGACCTTACTGCTGTTGACCCCGTTCATCTTCCTCATATCCTACAACAAGAGCTTGACCTTTGCCCTCCGGCGAATGAGCTCATTGGTGGTGGCCACAGCCATTTGGTACACCTTCACTGAGACCTTCTTCTACATTGAAGATGCCACAGGTACATGCCACATGGATAAAGTCCCTCATGAAGAATTCACCACAAAGTGGAGATGCAGGAAGGCTGGGGGTCAATGGGATGGCTATGACATCTCAGGACACTCGTTCATTCTCTCGTACTCTGCACTCATCATTGCTCAAGAAATGGCACCTATGCTTGACAAAAAGATCAATCGGAACATTGTCCTTGATCTGTTATATGTGTCTCTTAATGGAATAGTAATCATCTGGATATGGATGTTTATGTGTACCTCTGTGTATTTTCATGATTTCTTGCAGAAGGTTCTCGGGACTGTTTTTGGAATTCTGGCATGGTTTGTCACATATCGGGTATGGTATCCAATGCCCTTATCGCCTGGTCTTCCACATCAGTCAGAAAAGCAGAGCTGACTTGCTTAAAATCAGCACTACTTGGTACTAGGCTAAACATCCTACTCTCACACTGCAGTGTGGCTCTGCAACGTCTGCCACCTTCAAAACATTAAAGTTAAAAACATGGACATTCTTCTGAGGGTCCGTGTTGACTGTTGTTGCTATTTAAAGTTGTCTTTCCTTTAGAAAGGTCATTTTGGACAGGGGCTTGGGGTTAGTTTGCATGCAGTCCCTACTCCCTATGTGGCTGTAGGCAGCTGGTGTTCTTAAAATGACTCTGAAGTAATCCGAGATCATTGCAGTGCATGGCGTTGATGTCTTGGTCCAGGCCTATCAGCTAGCTAGTCTTCTCTAGGGTTGTGGTCCATACCATTTACTTCCTGAATTGAAAATGGAAAGATTTAAAGAAAAAGGAATTCAATTCACCCCAACTCTGATGGTCACGGTGTAATTTTTTGTTTTACATTTTTGGCTTCAAATGTTTTATCTGTGTGGAAATATTTATTGTAGAGAAATGTATAAAGTAGCCTAATTAATTTATCAATGGCAAATGTAGTGAACACTACATTTACAATGAGATACTGTAAGGCTTACCTTTAAGGTATTTTGAAGGTAAGGTATTGTGCTTTGCCGACAATTTTTATTGTAACACACAACCCTCCAAATAAAAATGAGATCAGTTCTGGAGCTAGTTGTACAGATTGCCAGATGTCTCAAATGTCCAGCAGCTCTCAATCAACATTGTGCTTTATTCATAAGGCCTACATAAGGTCAGCCAAAATTGTAGCCTAACTATTTCGTTTTGTTAGACAAATCATTAAGGACAACATACAATTCTTTCCAGAACCAAATGATTCTAATCATATCAATGTTACTACTAGCTGTAGGTGCATCTGTTTATTCTCAGCACTACCTAGGGACATGGAAAATTGAGCATGATGTACATTTATTGTCAAATTCATTGTATTTTTAGTAGATTGCGTGACTGTGCACTCTAATAAATTTCTTAACAATGAGGATATTGTCTTTTGTTTGGATGTGAGAAAAACCATAGAGTATAAAATAATAGAGAAAATACATTACATTCAATTATAAGTGTTGAAATAACAGTTTTTAATCTCCAAGTTCTATTTTTCAATTTCATAATTTATTTTTAATTGATGGCAACTGAATAAATTAAGGCTTATGAACAAACAAAGTGCACTGTAAAGAAATGCATATTTATAAATATAAAAAATAAGAAAATACTATTGTGAAATATGTCCATAAATAACAGCTAGAAGTACTCAACTTGATGAAATCATTGTCTCGAGAGTTCTGTGAGCCATATGGAATACAGACCTAATTTGCAAGGATTACGTTTTCAGTTGTAAGAAGCAGATAATTCTTCGTAACAATGGTGCTTGTTATAATGAAATATATACAAGCCTTGACAATGATAGACTGGTTATGGAATTGTGATTTCTCAATTGGTCTCTGACATTTCACCCAGACAGTGTTACAGTTTATGTATCAGTGAAAGTCCCAGGAGGAGACACAATTGTACAAGAAGAAAAAACAAAATGAAGTGGATTGTAGACACTTGAGTTGAACTACTGTATGGCTATTAATGAAAGACTATGTATTAGTTGAGTACTAGGCAAACTGTCAAATGTGTTACCTTGCTTACTTCCAACTTTAAAATCAGCTTAAACTTAAGGTATTCAAACCTGTGCCATGTTGTGTTATTGTTCTTATACAGGTGACTACTGGAGTCAAATGTTCTTTCCATTACATAGATCTCCAAAGCTCAACATATTGTGAATCAGACTCAAAACATTTTGTTTTTACAGTTCTTCTGCACTGAGTATTGTTTTGTCACCAACAAACAAAAAAGGTTATGATGAACTGTAACTTCTCAACTTCCAGTTCAGACAAACTTGTAGGGCCGGTTTCCCAGACAACGATTAAGCCTAAACCTAGTCCTGAACTAAAAAGTTATTTCAATGGAGATTCTCCATTAAGCAAGCTTTTTAGTCCAGGACTAGGCTTAATCAGTGTTCAGGAAACCGGCCCCAAGTGTGTCTTGACAAGGAGAAGTAATAAAAGTTAAACCATTATGTAGTGTGAATCAAAAATCGCACCCTATTCCCTACATAGTGCACTACTTTTGACCAGAGCCTTATTGGCCCTTGTCAAAATTAGTGCACTACATAGGGAATAAGGTGCCATTTCGGACATAGATGTCCCACACAGCTGACACACTGTTAATGAAACATTGATCATTGTCTTTGGTTAAGAATCCTCTTCCAACACCCCGTCTCAGCAGTAATCAGCCATGCAGTCTATTAACAACCATCTGCACAGTTACTATGAATATCAAGTCTTTCCTCTTCCTCAAAACACCTTGAAGAAAAAGACAATTTCTCAATTGTCTCCCATGCCTTGACAAGGAGTGGATAGATGTTTAAGCAATTGAAATAGAGCTGAAGATCCAAGATTCCTCTGCTCTTCTAATTTAATGCTCTCCTGTTTCCTCGTTTCCCTCGTGACATTTTGAAAAGGAGGGAGGGAGAGGACGGGAGGACATGAGGAAAGACTATTGAGAAAGAGATTCTGTTTCTGTGGAAAAACAGAACTGGAGCTTCCTGTATTGTATCTTGTCCTGTGTTTTTTTTTACCCAGACCTCATTTAAATATAAATAAATCCTTGTAATCATACAATGCAAACCCTGCTAACGTTCCACATTCGTCTGTGTACATGCTAACACTCCTGAATAGAGAGGAACATTGTACAGTTCAGTCAGACTCCAGAGGGGGGTTCTATAAGAGGTTTAGGTTGTAGAAGTTTAGGTTAAATGCCTAGTCATACCAGTCATAGAACAAAATAAACAAAAAGGTTAGTTAGCTGAACTAAAACTCCTGGAATCAAACCAACCATGTCAGCTATTCATGTGAGTATTTAACTGAACAATGTAGAATTTCATAATCACTCTATAGGGGCACTGTTAAAGGCCACTTACTGATTCCTCGCTCAATATTGCGGAGGGCTCAATTGACCCTTTTAGTATTTCTCCATCATACCTCTGACTTTCAAGGATCAGTTTATGATCAGCTCAAGACAATGGTGCTGTGGTGTGAGAAATGACAATCACATTTTATTCATGAATGAATGGATGGAGCACATATGTTTTCATGGTGCTCTAAAGGTATTGTCTGTATATGGCTGGTTCAGCCGGTCCCAATTCACTCCCGAACCCTTCCCTTTGGCCCAACGTTTGCATATCTGAAGGGTCTGGCTAGGTATAAGCAGTGTAGTCGTGGAACTTACAGATCTGCATACAAGAGTTATGGCCAAGGGAAAAGGGATAGGGATCTAATTGGGACCGACTGGACGTCTTGCTATCCTAACGTCTCATCTGGCAGTTTTTGGCAGCACAGGAAGTATCAGAAGTACAGTATCAGTGTTCATCACGTAAATTGCCTTGGTTTTAATAAAATAAACCACAGGCCAACAGAGGAGTGAAGGGCAATAGGTGAATGCCAAAACTATGATGGAAAAACCTATTAAAGGGATATTTCTGGATTTTGGCAATGAGGCCCTTTATCTACTTCCCCAGATTCAGATGAACTCGTGGATATCATTTTTATGTCGCTGCGTGCAGTTTGAATGAAATTGCTAACTAGCGTGAGTGCAATTGCTTACTAGCGTTAGCGCAATGACTGGAAGTCTAATGGAATCTGTTAGCTTCCAGTCATTGCGCTAACGCTAGTTAGCATTGGCTCGCGAAACTACCTCGAACTTCCTTCACACTGGACACATTGACATAAAAATGGTATCCACGAGTTCATCTGACTCTTGGAAGTAGATAAATCCAGAAATATCCCTTTAATAAAACTCTAGTACATGCAAGGTGTGGATGAGCCCCGCTTTGTGTATGGTGATGCAATGTCAAAACATTCTGTCTGGCTCTCTCATGTGTAGGGAATATATGACCATAATGATAATTCTGAACACACAAATATATTTGTTCCCTTAATTAATATAACTGAACCTACAGCATGCCTCCAAAATGAGCTAATGAGAAAGTAACAAGTGGATCGTGAGACCTGAAGAAGGGAGACAGAAATTAAATAGTTGAAGGCATTGAATACCAGAAAAATGAGCTGTTAAGAATTCCTTTGTGTATGGAACGTTCGTATATTCTTTGTTCACCCAGGTAAGTAATAGTGTTCTCTATATAGATTCATATTTTCCTGCTGTCGTATAACATGACAGAAAAGATGAAACATCACACAAATACACAGACATTTAACACAAGGAGGGGGGGAGTTCACTACACATATTTCTTTTTTAAAAACCAATAGGCAAAGTATCCCATCCCACCCAGAGAGCCCATGAGGAAAGAGGCCCCGAAAAAAGATGGCGGCTTCTTTTTTACCATTCGGAATGCGTTGGGTAGAACTGCTGACAGGAGGGTTGTGTGGATGTCACCCAGAACCTTGCGGAAAGCGTAGCGTTTTTGCACCCGCTCGAAAAAGGACTGGAGGTTGGGTCGGCTGCCGTCCTCCCAGTATTTCTTTGAGAGTCCCAAGAACTTAAGCCTGTGCAACAAGGCTCCCAGGCAGACATCAGCTAGTGTAAATTCAGGTCCACATAGCCACAACTCACACTTTTGACCTGCCAAAGGGAAAAGAAAACATGATACTGTAGCAGAGTGGTACGAAGTAGCCTTGTCCCAGATATGTGTGTTGTCTTGTCAACTCTTATATGACCATAGTAGTTGCAGTTGGCAAGATAGCACAGATCTGGGACCAGGCTAGGAAGATAAAACAGAATATGTTTGTAATGTAATGTCTGAACTGAAGGACATAAACATAAATAACATGGCAACAGTAAACATGTCGTCCCACACAAATGCCCCCCCTTCCCCCCTCCCGTGTGACTAACAGATTTCAGTGAATTACTATATCTCGCGCCATGGGCCAATCAGTGTTATTTTGTAAATGCCGGATCTCTATGGCAAGACACCATTCACCCAAGTTTAGTCAAAATCAAGCCAGTGCTGTCTGAGATATTGCTTGTGACAATCATATGGATGGAGGCAGGTCCACAGTCCCCTCCCCGATTTCATAGAGGGGGACAATAATCTCCACTTACCTTTATACTCGATTTTCCTCTTTTCCAGCTCGGCCTCCACCTGATCTAGTACCATGGCCAACTCGCCAAGGATCTTCTTCAGGTAGTTGACATTGTCGTGGTCCAATATTTTTGCCTGTGAGCACAAGAGTAATCCCATATCACACACAGTACACTCGCTTCAGCACTCAGCGGTCCCATTCTGTGAGCTTGTGTGGCCTACCACTTCGCGGCTGAGCCGTTGTTGCTCCTAGACGTTTCCACTTCGCAATAACAGCACTTACCGTTGACCGGGGCAGCTGGAGCAGGGCAGATATCTGACAAACTGACTTGTTGGAAAGGTGGCATCCTGTGACGGTGCTACGTTAAAAGTCACTGAGCTCTTCAGTATGTATACACCTGTCAGCAACGGGTGTGGCTGAAATAGCCGAATCCACTAATTTGAAGGGGTGTCCACATATTTTGTATATACACTACCAGTCAAAAGTTTGGACACACGTACTCATTCAAGGGTTTTTCTTTATTTTTTTATATTTTTTTTACATTGTAGAATAATAGTGAAGTCGTCAAAACTATGAAATAACACATATGGAATCATGTAGTAACCAAAGTGTTAAACAAACCAAAATATATTTGATATTTGAGATTCTTCAAGGTAGCCACCCTTTGCCTTGATGAAAGCTTTGCACACTCTCGGCATTCTCTCAACAAGCTTCACGAGGTAGTCACCTGGAATGCATTTCAATTAACAGGTGTACCTTCTTAAAAGTAAATTTGTGGAATTTCTTTCCTTCTTAATGCATTTGAGCCAATCAGTTGTCTTGCCACAAGGTAGGGGGGGGGGTATACAGAAGATAGCCCTATTTGGTAAAAGACCAAGTCCATATTATGGCAAGAACAGCTCAAATAAGCAAAGAGAAACAACAGTCCATCATTACTTTTAGACATCAAGGTCAGTCAATAGGGAACATTTCAAGAACTTTGAAAGTTTCTTCAAGTGCAGTCGCAAAAACCATCAAGCGCTATGATGAAACTGGCTCTCATGAGGACCGCCACAGGAAAGGAAGACCCAGAGTTACCTCTGCTGCAGAGGAAACGTTCATTAGAGTTACCAGCCTCAGAAATTGCAGCCCAAATAAATGCTTCACAGAGTTCAAGTCACAGACACATCTCAACATCAACTGTTCAGAGGGGACTGTGTGAATCAGGCCTTCATGGTCGATTTTGCTGCAAAGAAACCACTACTAAAGGACACCAATAAGAAGAAGAGACCTGTTGGGCCAAGAAACACGAGCAATGGACATTAGACCGGTGGAAATGTGTCCTTTAGTCTGGAGTCCAAATTTGAGATTTTTGGTTCCAACCGCCGTGTCTTTGTGAGACGCAGTGTGGGTGAACGGATGATCTCCGCATGTGTAGTTCCCACCGTAAAGCATGGAGGAGGAGGTGTTATGGTGTGGGGGTGCTTTGCTGGTAACACTGTCTGCGATTTATTTAGAATTCAAGGCACACTTAACCAGCATGGCTACCACAGCATTCTGCAGCGATACGCCATCCCATCTGATTTGGGCTTAGTGGGACTGTCATTTGTTTTTCAACAGGACAATGACCCATCACACCTCTAGGCTGTGTAAGGGCTATTTTACCAAGAAGGATAGTGATGGAGTGCTGCATCAGATGACCTGGCCTCCACAATCCCCCGACCTCAACCCAATTGAGATGGTTTGGAATGAGTCTGGTGGCAGAGTGAAGGAAAATCAGCCAACAAGTGCTCAGCATATGTGGGAACTCCTTCAAGACTGTTGGAAAAGCATTCCAGGTGAAGCTGGTTGAGCGAATGCCAAGAGTGTGCAAAGCTGTCATCAAGGCAAAGGGTGGCAATTTGAAGAATATAAAATATAAAATATAATTTTATTTGTTTAACACTTTTTTGGTTACTACATGATTCCATATGTGTTATTTCATAGTTTTGATGTCTTCGCTATTATTCTACAATGTAGAAAATAGTAAAAATAAAGAAAAACCCTTGAATGAGTAGGTGTGTCCAAACTTTTGACTGGTACTGTATAATGTATGTGAAACCCATCTCCATCTCTATGCCTATATTCTCACACCGTAGATAGCCTCTCACAGGCCAATACCTCTTGGAAGATCACATGAAACATACATGGACAACATCTGCTGAGACACTGGTCTCAACAGAAGACCTACCAGTTGTCATGAGCTATGGCATGTCATTGTCTGGCACAAGCAAGTAACTAAGCATCACTATGTCCCCTTGAAATACAATAACAGAGGAAAATAAACCTATTTGTAACATTGTAACTAACAACAGTGGTAAATAAATATATTTTCATAAAGGTACTGACTGTACATCCTAAAGATAGGCCGAGCCAAGCCGTTAAAAGGAAACCATTTGTTTTAGCCAGCAAGTTAGCCCTGGCAGTAGCAGCTATTCATGTTGATACATTATGGGTCAATAAAGAACTAGCACAGACCCTGACACAATCACTTGGGGTAATTGTGCAATATCTATCCTACATCACACTGAAACATTGTCAATAACAACCATGTTGGAGTTGCTCTGCTTAGTAAAAACGTATTCAACAACTCGTTGTCAATGTGACCAGTTAATTTGAGTAGGAACATTTAATGAAATCGTAATATGCTTGTAACACACAGATACACACACACAAATGGTATTTAGAGCAACCGGAAAGGTAAATTGTTTGTATTGTAATAATAATTTGTATTGTTTCTCTCTTTTAAGGCTTCTCCTGTGGTGTGGTGGTGCCGTGTTGCCAGTCTTACCATGAGTTTTTTCTGCTTGGAGAGATATGGCTCTGTCAGAGTGGGCTCCTCATGGTCCAGCTTCATCAGCTCAGACGCAGCGTTGGTCAAGTGTCCTGAGGACAGAGAGACGGAGACATCACTGACTCCTGGATGAAATAATGCTCTGAGATAAGAGACAATAGTCAGTGACTATTGGAGTAAATACCTCTGTTAAACCCTTTTGTCACCACAAATGTGGGTCTAAAACAGTACCAAAAGCAGAGAGTTGATGTTCAATAACAGCAAATGATCTAGTGTATATGTGTCTAGTTGACAAGCGTATAATGCATTAGAAATACACAATTTACAAATACGCAGAGATCCCATTAAATCTGCATTTCCCAGAGACTACCAATTTCAGTTCTAAAGTGTGAGATATAAATCAATAACATGTTGTTCATAAAACATATTAATGACTCTGAAATATAAACATAATTGGTGAAAACAACAAATAAAGCATCAAGACAGGGCATTGGGTTTCCTGGTTAATTTATTCCACTGAAGGCTTTTGGCCGGACCAGCCTTTTTCTTGATGTACACAACACGTCCATGACGTAAGGATTAATACAGTGAGTGCAGACTTAATGACCTAATATCACATACAGAGAATTAATTACATTGCTTCAATTACATTTGATGTGATAAGGATTTTATTTTAAACAAGGTGAAATTGGACAGTGTAATTTGGTTGATGACATCCTGTTAACATGAAACTGTTATGAGAACGCTGAATGGTAATGGATTATCATATCAGTTTTCATTTTGTTTTGGGATATTGCGGATCATGAACTCTGTTTATATTCAATATGATATTATTACAATGTGCACGTGACTTACATGTAAGTATTTTGATGTCTGCTAATAAACATCTCAAATTAATTTAGTGAGAACATCCGTTCATACTATGTGAATACTTTATAATTACTTGTAAATGGTTACACTGAACTTAACTTGACTTACTACGTATTTCAGCGGTGGCGTACTTTGGGATCATGGAGTCAGTGGTGAGCTCTGGGTGCAGGATACAGCCGTGTGTGTAAGCGTCCATGGGCAGGCCGTCCAGCAGCTCACGGTACTGCTGCACACGCTCGTGGAGAGGAGAGCCAGCATCGGGAATCAGCTGGGCCACCGTTTCTACAAAGAAACCAGGTACACACAGACAGCTGTATTTACAGCCTGACATACAGTGCAATTGGAAAGTATTCAGACCCCTTACCTTTTTCCACATTTTGTTACATCACAGCCTTATTCTAAACTGGATTAAATAAAAATGAGTCCTCATCAATCTACACACAATACCCCATAATGACAACATTTTTAGAAATTGTAGCAAATTTATTAACACTAAAAAACAGAAATACCTTATTTACATAAGTATTCAGACCCTTGGCTATGAAATTTGAAATTGAGCTCAAGCAAGTGCATCCTGTTTCCATTGATCATCCTTGAGATTTTTCTACAACTTGATTGGAGTCCACCTGTGATAAATTCAATGGATTGGACATGATTTGGAAAGGCACACACCTGTCTATATAAGGTCCCACAGTTGATAGTGCATGTCAGAGCAAAAAACAAGCCATGAGGTCGAAGGAATTGTCCGTAGAGCTCCGAGACAGGATTGTGTCAAGGCACAGATATGGGGAAGGGTACCAAAACATTGAAGGTCCCCAAGAACACAGTGGCCAACATCATTCTTAAATGGAAGAAGTTTGGAACCACCAAGACTCTTCCTAGAGCTGGCCGCCCGGCCAAACTGAGCAATCAGGGGAGAAGGGCCTTGGTCAGGGAGGTGACCAAGAACTCGATGCTCACTCTGACAGAGCTCCAGAGTTCCTCTGTGGAAATGGGAGAATCTGCCAGAATTTGCCAAAGGCACCTAAAGGACTCGCAGACCATGAGAAACAAGATTCTCTGTTCTGATGACACCAAGATTGAACTCTTTCTCCTAAATGCCAAGCGTCACGTCCGGAGGAAACCTGGCACCATCCCTATGGTGAACCATGGTGGTGGCAGCATCATGCTGTGGGGATGTTTTTCAGCGGCAGGGACTGGGAGACTAGTCAGAATCGAGGGAAGATGAACGGAGCAAAGTACAGAGAGATCCTTGATTAAAACCTGCTCCAGAGCGCTCAGGACCTCAGACTGGGGCGAAGGTTCACCTTACAACAGGACAACAACCCTAAGCACACAGCCAAGACAATGCAGGCGTGGCTTCGGGACAAGTCTCTGAATGTCCTTGAGTGGCCCAGCCAGAGCCCGGACTTGAACCCGATCGATCATCTCTGGAGAGACCTGAAAATAGCTGTGCAGCGATGCTCCCCATACAACCTGACAGAGCTTGAGACGATCTGCGGAGAAGAATGGGAGAAACTCCCCAAATACAGGTGTGCCAAGCTTGTAGCATCATACCCAAGAAGACTCGAGGCTGTAATTGCTGCCAAAGGTGCTTCAACAAAGTACTGAGTAAAGGGTCTGAATACTTATTATAACTGTATTATAATACATAGGACCATATAGCATTCTAACATATAGGCCTGTAACATAAATATATACTGTAACACTATATACCAACTTCAGCCTTTACTTTATATGCAACTGTCCACTTACATATCACAAAGCCTAACAATGGTGTGTAAGGGGGATTTTACTGTGAATGGAGTATGATCAACTACAACCCTGTTTCTGAGAATAGGATACATAGGCCAATAGACAGAACCAGAAGCAAACGTTCCACAAGATCAACAGATAGCTATGTGTTTTAACTTTAGATCACGATACCGGCTAGTTTAGGTAGGCTATGAGCTGCAGAGGGCTGGCCTGAAAGCTGTGACTGATGATGGGGAGTGGGGACACAGGAAGGGCCCGTGGATATTCCAGTCTGTGCTGTTCTTCCGGTTGTGTGTCTTTAAGGTGGAGCCGGAGGCCCGGATTTGCACCTGGCAGACTGCTGACTAATCAGTCCAGGCCCAACAGGCTGACTTGGGCATGGCTGTGGCCGTACGTGGCTTGGCTCTGGAGGTCTGCTGCTGATGCGCTCTGCTGCAGCGCTAAGCAGCAAAGGGTTGTGATTATCAGAGCAGGCTCCTTGTTAAAAGAGCCCCCACCCATCCTCAGACAGAACACAAACAGGGGCATGGCCTTGGCTTGGACACAGTCACAGCACTGCTGCATTTCGTGCCAACATGATGATGGTGCAAAATGAAATGTCGCACAGGAGAGAACCCAATGAGCTCACTATGTATTACTGCTCAGTCACATCTCACTCTCATCCATGGGAAGCAAATCGGATACTGCTGACAAAATACCAAAACAAGATTCTCCCTGAGAAAGCATAAAGAGAGATTAAGGTTCAGCTTGCCTGGCTACCCAGACTTCTTGCTTTGTTAAAATGCTATGCTAAGCCCACAAACTTGTTGTTTTGAAAGCGGCAATTCTCCCCGACCTTCACCGAATGCGAACACATTCGGACATTCGGGGCGTCTGATTGGTCCCAGAAAACGAATGGGTTGGGCCAGAGCCAGAACACTTGGGTGAAGCAGCGTTTTCGAAGTACATAATTGGCTTTAATACTGTGATTGGTTAGAGGCGATCCAATCGCTGATTACTTTGTTTTCACCATAAACGACATCACTCAAACGACTTTCAATGATGGCAGATTCACACTAAAGTATGTAGCGAATGACAGAACAGCGGAATAATTTAGTGTGAGGTGTCAGGCTAGTTCTTAGTTACCATAAAAGACTAAGTGATATGTCAGTGGATTTCACCTTGCTGGAGGTAGGATTTCACCTGGGTCCACTACACTAAGGCTAACTTAAGTTGACTTGGCACTAGATTTCCTGTCCATTACTATGATAGGATTTTCTCTGCTGTTTCATCTACACTTCCAAGGCCAACTCCAGTCCCCTTTGGCAGGGTGCATTAGAAAGTACACATAATTGGAGACAATATCTGTAAATCAAGCAGCTGAATGACACATCCTCTTTAAAATGAGCATGAGGTCTGGGTCGTGTTCAGTAGGGAGAAAAAGTTTTCCAACAAAGTGAAACAGGGAGATATACTACTCTGAGATATACTATGCTAAATGCTTTGCTACACCGTGCCCTGCTGAACATGAATCTGCTACTAAACAGCCATATTGAGCATTCATTAAAACTATAAACTGAAAATAATCGAAATGTCATAAAAATAGCAACATTTGTTTAAAATAAAATAAGAGCTTGAGAGTACCAAACGGACGTTAATGACATGAGCTGGGTTAGGATATTGAGAAAACATTGGAGCATATCCGTTGCAACTGAAGTCTGAAATCAGTATAGTTGGCTTCTATAGCATCAAGCCTCTCTGTCATGGATGGGTGAGCATGAAGTATCTCGATCTGAAGTAAGAAGAAGTCCTTCATCCATTGGCCATGGTAAATACTGCATCCCTGCAGGGCTTACTGGAGCCATTCTCTCGGGACATTACATAACGACCCACAACCACCACCGCAAATTACCCATAGGACCATGATTGGACACACAAAATACTGAGAAAAACATGATGCACAGAATACAGTTAGTATCTGGGTTGAATTACACTTCCCTGATGAAAAATAGCTTAACACTGTTTACAAACCTTAAAATGGAAACCTTAGCCTTAATAGAAACCTCAAAACATGTATACTCTTTGCTATGCAGCCTCCAGCCAGTCACTGACTTCATGGACGATCATTGATCCTTGAGCTGCAGTGAACCATAAGATTGGCCAATTAGATGTATCTCTGTTCACAACTGTTCACAATTCAGTCTGTAAGTATTCAATAACCTGGTAAATACTGTTTATGGTCACTAATAAAGACATGAGTAGCCCTGAAAAGCAGTACCTCCCCAAGTTAGTCTCTAGGTAGGCCAACTCTATGACCTGGTTGTATACTGTTTGCTATGCAGTCACTACTATAACATCATGGATGAAAATAGACCCTAAAGTAACCTTAAAGAGAGCATTTGCAGTCACTCACATCCCACTGCAGTCACTAACATAATGGAAAGAAATCAAGTAGTCTGAAAGGCAATACCTCCCCCAAAATGATCCTCTAGGTACTCTATAATCTGGTTGTAGTCTGAGACGATGGTGTCTCCGTGGATAAAGACGGGCACCTCCTCCCCCAGGTTGAGCCTCATGAACCAGGGCTCCTTGTACTCGGCTATAGGGAGACTCACGTCCCTCTCTTCACACAGCAGACCCTTCTCATTGATCACCAGACGCACCTGGAGGAAACACAGAGAAACACTCAAGTTACATCTTCATCTCATAACTCAACTCTGTTGTTTTTGTGTTTTTGTACAAACAGTACTCTTGATGGTCAATGTTATTATAATCTTATAACAAATATATGTGCTAGTGTCACGCCTGCTCCCGCTCCCCCTCCCTGGCGCTCGAGGGCAAAGGGTAGGAGTCCAGGTGAGTCCAATCATTACGCACACCTGTCACCATCGTTACGCGCATCAGCGCTCATTGGACTCACCTGGACTCCTACCCTTTGTTAATTACCTCCCCTATATCTGTCTGTTCCTTTGTTTGATCCCTGTGTCAGCATTAATGTCGTAATATGTTTCCCCTGTCCAGACACTGTCCGTGTTTCGTTTCATGTCTGTATATATTAAATGTTCACTCCCTGTACTTGCTTCTCGTCTCCCAGCGTCTGTCCTCACAGCTAGTGAAGTGAATCTAATAGGGAAACACCTTCAGGTCTACAAGGGTTAACATTCAAAAGCAAATTGTAAGTTGCATTCGCAATTCAGCTTATTGCTGCTACTTGTACAATGTTTTGTTGAAGAACAATTTTCAAAGACAACAATGATCTGTTTCTTTCTAACCAACTGCACGCCCTAGAGCAGAAAAGCCTGCTCTACACAAGTACAGACAGGCATGAAACGGGATGTTAAAAGGCCTTAGAAAAAAGTACCATTCATGCATCACTGCCAGACGTAGGCCCTTTATCTTTTGTGTTCATAATCTCAAACAAAATGATGTTTTATTGTGCTCAATTCGAACAAAAATGGCTTCTGTGAGGCAGACAGTATCCAATTACAGTGTCTATTAAAAGCAATGCCAAGCTCCATGGACGGCTATTTGTATAAATAATATTAATGAATGCACAGTAGATTACACTATGGAGGTTGAGGGGGCCATGGAGCGAGAAAAATGTGGCATTTGTTGTACATGGCCAGACAAATTATAATAAAACATCACAAAGTGTGAGTGCATCAAATTATTAAAAAGTTAAAGCCTAGGAATTATTACAACCTGTGTCTAGCACAGGGTAACCTTGTCCCCAGGCTATTGTGCACAGAGGGAGGAAGTCTGGTGCGTGAGACAGAACAGGAAGACCTTGTAGCTCGCTCAACTTACTGCAACAATTCCCATCACTGATTACCTATGTAACAGCATGAAACCTAAACTTAAACAGTAGCTGAAGTAGATGACTGTAGAGAATTATTAGGGTATATACATTTACATTTTAGTCATTTAGCAGACGCTCTTATCCAGAGCAACTTACAGGAGCAATTAGGGTTAAGTGCCTTGCTCAAGGGCACATCGACAGATTTTTCACCTAGTAGGCTTGGGGATTAGAACAAGCGACCTTTCGGTTACTGGCACAACGCTCTTAACCACTAAGCTACCTGGTAGCTTAGTGGTTAAGAGCGTTGTGCCAGTAACCGAAAGGTCGCTTGTTCTAATCCCCAAGCCTACTAGGTGAAAAATCTACTCAACCAGACCATCGATTCAACAATGACAAATATTTCTCAATCATATGGTTGCAGAAAATGTACCAATCTAACTCTTCTAACCAGACAATAACTTGCACCTTAACATTAACTCCTCATCATAAACTCTAGCACAGCTGGGGCCCCAGGGCACCTACCTCCAGGAAGTTAGCTGTTTGGAAAACAGCTAACTTCCTGCAATTCTACACATTTGCCATGAGGCTGAGAGAAAAATGTGCTAATTTCCTGCAATTCTACACATTTTGCCATGGGGCAGACATTTTTTTGTTGCAGTTTTAAAGCTACATTCCTAAATTCCCCAACCTCCATGGGGCCCCCAAACTGATGTGTTCAAATCACATTTTATTTTTCACTTGCTTCGTAATCAACCGGTGTAGACTAACAGTGAAACGCTTACTTAGGGCCCTTCCCAACAATGCAGAGAGAGAAGAAATAGAAGGACTAAATACACAATGAGTAACGATAACTTGGCTATATACACGGGGTACCAGTACCGAGTTGATGTGCAGGGGTATGAGGTAATTGAGGTAGATATGTACATATACAGTGCATTCGGAAAGTATTCAGACCCCTTGACTTTTTCCACATTTTGTTATGTTACAGCCTTATTCTAAAATCGATTAAATTGTTTTTTCCCCCTCATCAATCTACACACAATACCCCATAATGTCCAATCAAAAACAGTATTTTTTTTTTTTGCAAATGTATAAAAAAAAAAAAAAACAGAAATATTACATTTACAGACCCATTACTCAGTACTTTGTTGTAGCACCTTTGGCAGCGATTACAGCCTCGACTCACTTGGGTATAACGCTACAAGCTTGGCACACCTGTATTTGGGGAGTTTCTCCCATTCTTCACTGCAGATCCTCTCAAGCTCTGTCAGGTTGGATGGGGAGCGTCACTGCACAGCTATTTTCAAGTCTCTCCAGAGATGTTCGATCAGGTTCAAGTCCAGGCTCTGGCTGGGCCACTCAAGGATATTCAGAGACATGCTTCACCGTAGGGATGGTGCCAGGTTTCCTCCAGACGTGACACTTGGCCGAAGAGTTCAATCTTGGTTTCATCAGACCAGAGAATCTTGTTTCTCATGGTCTGAGAGTCCTTTAGGTGCCTTTTGGCAAACTCCAAGCGGGCTGTCATGTGCCTTTTACTGAGGAGTGGCCTCCGTCTGGCCACTCTACCATAAAGGCCTGATTGGTGGAGTGCTGCAGAGATGATTGTCCTTCTGGAGGGTTCTCCCATCTCCACAGAGGAACTCTGGAGCTCTGTCAGAGTGACCATCGGGTTCTTGGTCACCTCCCTGACCAAGGTCCTTCTCCCCCGATTGCTCAGTTTTGACGGGCAGACAGCTCTAGGAAGAGTCTTGGTGGTTCCAAACTTCTTCCATTTAAGAATGATGGAGGCCACTGTGTTCTTGGGGACCTTCAATGCTGCAGACATTTTTTGGTACCCTTCCCCAGATCTGTGCCTCGACACAATCCTGTCTCAGAGCTCTACGGACAATTCCTTCGACCTCATTGCTTGGTTTTTGCTCTCACATGCACTGTCAACTGTTGGACCTTATATAGACAGGTGTGTGCCTTTCCAAATCATGTCCAATCAATTGAATTTACCACAGGTGGACTCCAATCAAGTTGTAGAAACATCTCAAGGATGATCAATGGAAACAGGATGCACTTGTGCTCAATTTCAAGTCTCATAGCAAAGGGTCTGAATACTTATGTAAATAAGGTATTTCTGTTTTTTATTTGTTGTACATTTGCAAAAATGTCTAAAAACCTGTTTTCGCTTTGTCATTATGGGGTATTGTGTGTAGATTGACGAGGACATTTTTTTTATTTAATCAATTTTAAAATAAGGCTGTAACGTAACAAAATGTGAAAAAAGTCAGGGGGTCTGAATACTTTCAGATGCACTGTAGGTAGGGCAACAGGATAGATAATAATCAGCAGCGTCAAATGCAGGGGGTCCCCAACCAACGTGCTCATAATATGCTATCTGGGGGTGCCCCGACCTCCAGGGGGCCCTCAACTGATGTGTTCATATGCTATGTAATCGGCCTTGTCACTGACATCTGAGTTGGAACCACTGACATCTGAGTGTTGACTACTGTATAAGATCTAGCAGCAGAGACTTACAGGCTCTGGGGTATACTGTAGTGACAAAGGTGTAATTCTCCAACCTTCTGCAGCAGTTAAGAATGACAGACAGTGGAGTATTGCTCTTCAATTACTTCCAGTTATGCGGTAACCTTAAGGTTTCAAACTCACGTTGTATCATTCCTCCTGTGCACAATCCATAATTTACTGTATGTCAGATGGATCAGTGATCAATGGAACTACCTTATGAGAGCACTAGTGAGACATAGTTTACATACCTTGATGATTTTCTAAAGATATCCATAAAGACAGGTTTGTGCAGGTTAATGCAATGACACAGCAATTTTTTGTCTGTCTCAGCTATATTTGCAGTGTTTTGGACATCTGCCTTAGTCCTCCTTAGTTTGATCAAAATCCATATATGGATAATGTGAATTGTGCAAGGACATAAATTGATATACTTTTTATGGCATACTCAAATATAAAACATAAATATAAAACACATTTGCCTGTCTGTTGGCCACATACTGTATATTGGTGATTAGAGGACAGAGGAACCAGGGGATCCTAAAGTTCCTTGTTCATTATCTCAAGTCAAATGCCCCCTAACCATCATTAAAAGCAACCTAAATTGGAAGAAAACTAAAAACCCATAGTACACTTTGCTTAATGACAGTTGTAGGCAACTGTATTAAGATGTAACACTGTCTAACGTAAAGGAATGCAACCTCTTTAAGTTGAACAACAACAATGATGTTTAAATTATGTTTACTGTTACTGTTGAGTGACAACAGGGACAGATCAGCAGTAGCTCCCAGAGTGGTTTGTAGCCAATAGCCTAATGGTTGACAGACTAAATCCCACATCTTTGCCCCATTGGGAGTGGAGCAAAGCTAGCTGAGCACAATACATACAGCTGTAAAGAGTGGATGTTTAACCAGGTGCAGAGCAACACTGGCCCACATGTTGTCTTCATTGCATGATGTTTCCATCTGTCATATTGGTGCTAAGTGTTAATGCTGCTTTCACTATATGTGCATTTCGGAAAAGCGAAATAATTCTGTCTCTATATTCAAAATGTGTAATATACACTGAGTTTGGAAAACATTAAGAACACCTGCTCTTTCCATTACATAGACTGACCAGGTGAATCCAGGTGAAAGCTTTGATCCCTTATTGATGTCACTTGTTAAATCCACTTCAATCAGTGTAGATGAAGGGGAGCAGTCAGGTTAAAGAAGGATGTTTAAGCATTGAGACAATTGAGACATGTATTGTGTATGTGTGCCATTCAGAGGGTGAATGGGTAAGACAAAACTTTGAAGTGCCTTTGAACAGGTTTGGTAGTAGGTGCCAGGCGCACTGGTTTGTGTCAAG